CCCCAAAACCCCAAAACCCCATAAGATAATAATTTAGAAATAGATCAGATTCATTATTAGAAATTGCTTTAATTATTGATTAAAATAATAATGAATAAGAAATACTCGATAAATATATCGTCCTCAAAAATGAAAGATAAATTAGCAAGTCCAGAGACTGTACCTTTCTCAAATTCAATCGTTTAGCAAACCTAAAATAATCAATGAGAAATTGACTAGATAGGTGAATCTGAAGGTAATGCTGTAAATCAAGTGCGTGAGGCTTTTCAGCTTAAAGACCCTAAGAAGAATAGAAATGCACTTTAGAAAATGACTGTAAAAGACAAACTTATATTATTGTCCTTCCTAGTTATGCTTGCACTAATTGTTGGTACGGAGTTCCTATACAGAGATAAGTTAAGAGAATATTCATATGAATGGATTCCTGAATTTCAAAACCAAATGACTACATCAGGAAAAAATTTCTTTCATTTCATTACTTTGTTTGGAGAGGGACCAGCGGCTGTCGCAGTATTTGGAATCACCTTTGGATTTTCAACTAGAGATAAGGCCTTTTATATGATGTTTGTTCATACAGTATGTGGTGTATTAAATCAGTAGCTAAAGATAACCTATAGGGAACCCAGACCTTTTCTAGTTGTTGAAAAAATATAAGCTCTCGATTGCTCTAAAACTTATGGGAATCCTAGTGGCCATGCCACAAATTCTGCTTGTGTCTATGTCAGTTTATTCTTACTAATTTACTATGACCGAGATTCTACTGATAGAATGAGATTACTATTTAGTGATAGTCGTAGTGAAAGGAGTAGTTGTTCTCAGAATTCTATAGTTAGGAAAAAATCCAACAAAAATTTCCTTTAGAAGTACAGGGGTAGCAAATTTAGAAAAATGTGGTTTTACATTTCCCTATTCCTCCTAGTTTTTCTTTTAGTAAGCGTGGATGTAAGTCGACTTGCCCTTGGTGCTCATTCAATAAACCAAGTCATATATGGTTCACTTTTAGGAATATGGCTAGCTTTAGCCATGTTTTATTATACGAGGCCATTTCTACAGGTGCACTTAAGATCTATTCTGGAGTTTGACACTCGAGAATTCGTGATTCAAAGACTTGGTACAGTTAGAAACTCTATGCTTTACTATATACTGATAGTAATGTCGATTTGGTTCATTGTGATATTGATAACAGTACTAAACTTCATAACTTCTACTAAATATGGAAACTACCCCAATGAGTGGATTGAATCTATAATTAGCAAATGCGGAGGAGAAGATAATATCAGTTAGAATTCTATTTTTATAAACTCTGCTTTTGTCAAGTCGGGATTAGTTTCGAACCTAATAGGCGCTTACTTGGGTATAATTCTAGATTCAATATATATGAAAGGCACTCATTAGAACATTAATGAGACACCCTTGTGGAAAGGCATTTTGAGAGTTCTTATAGGCTTGGTGATAAGTATTCCCTTTTTGAGTCTTTATTACCTAATGCCAGATAATTCTAACGTAATGACATTGTATTTAGTGAAGAGTACGATACCTTGCTTCTTTGTAATGCTTTTGCTATTTTCAGTTGTAAAGTTGATCTTCATCAGATTTAATCTAGTTAATATGGACAAGCAGTGACTGCTTGATTTCATCGATTATAGGTAATTAGTTTATTTAAAAGTTATCTAACAATAGTTTAATAAGATTTTAATGCTGACCTTAAAAAGATATGAATTAATTACCTTGATTTTAATATTTCTCATTTATTACTACATATGGGGTTTTGGGGTTTTGGGGTTTTGGGGTTTTGGGG